CGGCGCCCACGGGCCCGGGCGCTCTGCTGCCTGCGCCCATTAAGGAGCTGGGCGGCCGGGCCGCTGCGAGCCAGCCGGGCGCGCTGCAGGCCAGCCGGGGGGCCGGATCCACCCAGACCCTTGTAAAACCGGTGCCAACACTGGGCCCCCAGGGCCCCCAGAGACTGTGCCTCTGGGTGACATGTGCTGTGTCTCTACGTAAGTCCGTGTGTGAAATGATGGCTAGCGTGTGGGTGAGCAGCAAGTCCAAAGTCTCCTGATCTCAGTTTCTGTCACCCAAGCAGAACCGAACCGGCTGTTGTCGGCGGAAGATGCCCAGAGACCTCTGTCTTCCCGCACCTGGGAGACAACATCACGGTCCTTCCTTTCCCTCCTTCCTTCCTCGCTGGGGAAGAGAAATACGAAGGAACTGGACGGAAAGGCTCACACCGGGTGGCTCTCAGCATTTCATACTTGGATCACTGAGGTCTTGAACTACCACAATAGTCCTTTTTCAGCATTCTGTGTGAGTTTGATGTTTTCGTTTTGTTTTTTGGCTGCAGTAGTTCAACATGCATAATTGCCTCCACAAAGAAAGACAATGCNTTTTGTTTTTTGGCTGCAGTAGTTCAACATGCATAATTGCCTCCACAAAGAAAGACAATGCTTTCTGGTGTCATCCTTTGTTACTGGAACTTATTATTTCTGGGTGGTACCTCAGGATACATTGTTGCCTCAGGTGCATTGTGTACCCATGCTGTAAAACAGGGGCTTTCGATGGTGAGCTCGTGTGTGTTCCAGTTGTCACCCAGCTGCCTTCCCCACGGCTGTGAAATGCCTTTGAGCCCATGAGCTTTTGAAATTAAAAATGTTGAATCAAGGTGGACACCAATAGGCCCCACCACTTGAATACGTCCATTCTCCAGTTGGGTTATTAGCTTCATTTCAAACTCATTGTGAGAGGTGTATCTAATTTCTGGTTATAATGCACTCATAATCTGACAGGCTATTTGAACAGGAGTTAGCGCCATTTGGAATTATTTTGTGAAAGGAAAAAACGCTGTTTTACAAATTGTCTTCAACTTTCTACAGATAGGAAAACTGACAAGGTAAATCAACATGGATTAAATGTCTGTCTTCCCTGTTTTTATCCTCTCTCTCTCTCTCTCTCTCTCTC